TATGCAATTATAGTTAGATTTATTACTTTTGGACACTGTGTGACATTTATGTTGACTTTGTAAAAAGCCTGTATAACAAACACTGCTTTATAGAATCAATTCAGTTTCATTTCTAAATAAATTTTTGATTTTGCACATTTTGTATTAAATGTCGTTTGGTACCAAATCAGAAAAATGAATTCTTAAAATGAAGGTAAATGCTGGAGTTAGCATTAAAATGTGACGTTTTTGCCGTCAAATTCAATTGTGACATATAGGTACATGAAGTACATATATGTGAAACAGCAGTTATTATTAAAATTTAAGAAACCACAAGTTAAATTTCTGTCTCGAGATCTTCTCCTTAATAACATGGCAGCATTTTGTAGAATTTAAAATAATTTTCAACATTAATTTTTCACCCAGCATTACAAAATTTACCATTTTAGGAACCTTAAAAATTTTGTGACATTGAAACTCCAAACTTTGTGACACACCATCTTATTCAACATCCTCACAATCAATCAGGTTAATATAAGAAATCCAACATGCATATCAACCCAAAATAACAGTCTTTTATAAAAAAGGATTATTGAGAGGTAGTTTCAAAATAAATTTAGCTCATGTAATTATTATTTTAAGTAACCGAAGACTTTTTATGTGTATCCCATATTTCGTCGATTAACTCTTATCTACACATCTGTCTTGGATTTTGAGCGACGCGTACAGAGCACACGGATTGAATGACAATTTTACATCATCTGCATCGTATTTTGAAATTTTCTGCCAAATTTTATGTTTCTATTGTTTGTTTTAAGGAAGTTATCAACATTTTGTAATTGCGTGTGCGACGCTCCTGTTACCAATCTACATGCGTTTTTCACGTAATTGACGGAATGGTCAAATTAATATCTTTGACAAATGGAATTTTTTTATCAATATTTTTGTTAAAATGTATTAAGTATACAATTACCGACCGAATGATATAAAGTTTTTATATTGTGAATTGTTTTAAAATTATGAAAATAGCGCAAATGCCGCCGCAATAGTAATTTTTAACTTTTTGACACCAACACCGTGCACGACGTCCATTTATTCGTATGAAAATCCTTCATGGAAAGATGACTGATTTACTAATACAAAGATTTCGATGACTATAGACTTAGTCATATATCTTTACATTGATCTTCTCTTTGAAAATACTCAGTCTCACCCAAAGACGTAAAGAACATTACAAACTTGTTAACTCTTGGACAGAAGAAAGACACATATCAATGGAGTATCTGATTAAAACCTTTTTCATTTACTTTTTAATATTCAATAGCATCTTCAAGTTACGTTACATTTTATTGAAGAAGTGAATTTATGCCTGAAATAAGAGTTCAATTGATGATGTTTACATAGTTTTTGCTACTTAAAGCGAGTACAAGTTTAACCTACCAATTCGTTTTGCACACAAAACAGTGTTAAAAAGTGAACAACAGTCTATCCATTAATTTACACGTGGAGGTTGGGTGGGAGGCGGCATCAGTAAAGTGTACACATGCTATAAAATTGTTTATATACTACATTTTGTTAATAAATGTTTGATGAATGTAGACATATTGTAACGCTTTTTTATTCACTAGAGTTACAATTGAATTAATAAATAGATTTAAAAAATAAAGAAATATTACAGACTTTTTTTCCCAATCATTTTCGGGTGCATGATATGTACAGAATTGCTACAGATCTATGGCGTACCGTTTAAAGCTAATTCTGCAGAATTACTAATGACCAGAAACAGAACAAAAAAAAACAAACAGATTTTGTGCATATTTGATTGATCATAATTATGTAATTTGTGCATCTCTTTTAAATTCCCAGCATAGCTGTAGGTATTGTCCTCGTTATTAGATGAGTGCAAGATTTTTTTACAGATGCCTGGGAAATCAGTTGTTAAATGCGCCAATTGTCTATAAAAAGGAAAATTCAATTATGAAAGAACTCACAAGTTTGGATGATGGGTATCAAACTATCAATGCACTTTTAATAGCATAAAAGGAAGAATAAGTATAACAAGTGGAATCGGAGAGACAGTAACGACTTATTTTGTAGCGAAAAGCAAGAGCTCCGAACTAGTCGTATGCAGGTTTTCTCTTTTGTCATGAGGTATGGTTTAAATGAATGTGGCAATAAATAATTACTACTCCAGCACCTATCACAACAATAAAAATTTTATGAATTATTAAGTATATGCAATTTTTAAAAAAAATTATTAAATTGTCATTTGAAGTAAATATATACAAAAGTTTCATTAAAAAAATCATCTTACATTATAAAATCTCATGGCGTCCCATACATTGTACTTTTTTCATATTAAATCCATAAACTTCATCAATATCTTTCACATTACTACTTTTTTCATCTTCAAATTGTAATTCATCAAAAGCAAAATCAAGTGCGTTTTCTTGTTTCTCTTCTCTTTTGTTTCTATTGTATTTAATGGAACTGTATGGCCGCTGTTGTTGCAAACTATTAGTTCCAAATGCTTTAGAATGTGAACCCAATTCCTGCAAATTCTCATTGGTAGTATCTGGCACACTGCATATATATTCTGCAGAATTGATATTTTGGTATAGGTTAAGTTCCTCCAAGTTTCCTATTATTGATTTCCGTGAAGCATCGGATGACGTTCGTGAAGTTTTATAAAAATCTGATTGCTTTTGACTATCCATTCTTTTGTTATGGCAATATCCATCTATGTCTGGTACTTGAAATCTTGAATCAGACCTACTTTGACTGGAGTTACACGAAAAAATGTCATTATTAAGTTGACAAGAGTTGAAAGATGGCGTTAATAATTGGTTTCTTTCCGTAGATATTCTCGAGTCGCCCAAGCCATTTTCATTTTGTTGTTGTTGTGGAGTATAAACCATTTCATCTGAAAAGTGAAAAGAAAGTAAAAATTTTATAATTGCATGACAAACTCCAGATGTTATCTTTCTTTTGTGACCAGACCTCAAGTAAACTGAACAGATTCGTTAATGTTAATCCGATGAAGGTTATTTGCATTTATGTTCTATGCATATTTACTCTTTATATGATTCTTTATTCACAAACATCCTTTATGATCAGCTTAGTTTGTATTATATCCATGCAAATAAAAAACACATGTAATTGAGGGTAACCATTTGCATCCGAACCTAGCATTCTATTTTATACAATACTAGTACTTTGATACGAAAATATGACAAAAATATAAATTGTTCGCAGATACAGGCCAGGAGTAAAACGTTGTTTTTGATAAAAAAAAATCGTTAAGAGACATTGAATGACGCTACGTCCTATCAGACATGAAGGTAACAAGTTCGTCGACGAAACTACTTGATAGTTTTGTTACATTTGAAAAAAAAAATTATGTATCGGAATTCTTTACCTGTAATGTTTCCATTTTTCTTATCAGTGCAGTGTTTTCTCCTCTGCCTAAACATTAATTTAAGACAAAGAAAATTGTTTCTTGAGACCAGTTATTCAGAAAGTAAGTGTTTGAAATCTACTTTACTATCGAAATATACCATTCGAAAAGTGATTCATTTACACTGAATGTAGATGAGATAATATGTAAGATAAAAAAAGCAAAGCCTACCATTTGTACAGAATATACAAAATTATCCATATCCCAGAAGTAACACCTACAGATCCAGCTGCTGTTAAAACTAAATGGTGCGTTTGAAGTTCTCCTTTTGTGCCTGTGATTTCTTTATCTTATCAAGGGAAAGAGAAAAGGCTTATGACAAAATCAATGGCATGAAGCCATCGGTCTCGCCTTATCAAAATTAAATGTAAAACACTGTCGTTTTCTCTGTTGTTAACTCTGGACTTTAGTTTTCAATCTCCAAAGCTAAACACTATGTGTAACTACAACTCGCATTGTCAATTATCTTTTAGATACATCAGCAGTCACGTTTGAAGTCAATATTTCGTAAGTTCTATGGTGGGTACAATAACTATGTCAGCAAATACAATTTATCATTGAGACAAATGCTGACTGACGTCTTTCATACTTATTGTTAGTGCATTATTTATACACAGAATGGACGACGGATTTTTCCGTTATTTCCTGATCATGACAAGGAGCACACAACGGTTGTTACCTGTGAGCAGGGGATGCTCACTCCTCCATGGCACCTGATCTCACCTCTGATGTTTTGGAGGTCCGTGTTTGCTCTGCTCCTGTTTTGTATTGTTTAATGGACGTTTGATCTTGAATACCGTTCGTTATCTTCATATGTTTAATCTTCACTGGTCTAAACGCTTGGCTAAATAAAGACGTGATTTGACACTTCCTTTTAAAGTTATGCAATTGTTAGTTG